CGCTTGAGCTGGAATCGGTTGTGTTATTGTGTAAGCTTATCAATCCATCATTTATTTACAATTCGCGGGTCTTTGACTGCTGCAGCGCATTGCTGATTCAAAAATCAGATATGTCGGTGTTCTTGCCCATATGGGAGAAGTTAAATAGGTGTTCTTGGCTACTTACACATACGAGGCGCGGGAAAGAGGGGTATATAAGCTTTTGCAGTAACTTGCAATACAAAGGCTTCTAACCAAAAATGAGATAAGAGTACTTTGCACCACCATCTTGCAACCATGTGTACACTACACTGCAATGATGGGGTTTTTGTGAACTGTTGTTAGGAAGCTTAAGCAACGACGACGCGGACGGCAACGAGAACGGCAAAAAAGCAATAGGTTTGATTAGCAAAACAACAACTTTGCACGTGCATCACGCTTTTTTTGTACATTTCTTTGCCGTCATTGCCCGACTACAACGTGAAAGTGCCTGAATTCACGTTTTTTCGAGGACGGGAACACGAGACAAAAACTTTCTTTTCTTTTCCTGAACTTTGATACAGTCCTTTAGAATTCAACTCCAAAAACATTTGCCAACATTTGACGAAGTAAATGAGATGGAATAAGTGCGATAAAGTTTGAAGCGGTGTGAATTCACTTTTTAAGTGACGTTTTTGTAGCCGTCGCCGTCACTGTTGCCTAAGCTTCCTGTTGTTATGGAGGGGTGGGAAGGAAAGAACGCCTTTTAGTGTTTCTCGATGGAAAATCGAAAAAGATGGATGTCATAGCTAGAGCTAGCTTACGAAATATTGGTGCGCACCCTATAATATGATGAGCATTAAAAGTTGATAGGGACAGAGCCTTTATCTGCCCATTGACTATTTTAATAGTCAATGGGTAGATAAAGGCTCTGTCCCTATGTAAAAATAGAACAAGGGTCTTTATACAGTTTTATCTATTTTAGAGCTAAATAGTTGTGGTTTGTAAAAGTTTTTTAACCAGAAAGTCGGTACGTTAAAATTATTTTTAACTTCACGCAAACTTCTTTTTGAAATTGCCGGCGTTTTGGCAAAGGATCGAAACTCAACACTGACTCAAACATAAATAGATTACTTTCACTTTTTGGCATTTATATTAACTAAGCCACCGAATGGTTGTACAGAGACTGGATATTTTTTGTGATTCCATCGTTTGTTTATAAAATAACTTTAAAGATATCACCAAGACCCGTCGGTCATTACGAATAATTATACACACATGACGTTAGTTTGGTTTGGTGTAGGGGGCTTCGGCAAATTATAGGATAATTGGAGTAAATTAACTCTACCGACCGTAAAGGAGCACTTTTTAATGTGTTTTCTATTACTGGAACGTGTTTGGCGGAACCTCTACATCTTTATATCTTCATTAAAACATCTTGTTTGAATAACAACAAATGAAAAAGCAAACAGTAAAGAACTTAACATGTATTTTATAGTCGCCTCAGCGTTATTCATCCAGGTCACGTTTTCTTTTTTACTATGCCGTTTTCGAGATCAAGCTTGCGTGATGGCATACGTTCTGTGGTATCAAGAAAGCGTCGAGAAGCAGTTCTCTCTTGTATTTTCCAGCTATACCCCGGCCGGTTACGGTGTTTCGGAATAGCTTGAAGGGGTGTCCTGCCTCTAAGTCGGGGTGAAATCTTATGGTGGGTTCAGTTATTTTTACTGTTGTCTGTTATAGTCAGTGCTACCTGCTACCCATTGTGTCGAACAATGTGGTACCGAACGTTTCAGTCTCATAGGTGGTAGGGCGTGACTGTCATATGAAAGCTATATTAAAACAGTACCCTTTCTTTTGTGTCTTTTGTCACTGCCGTGCTGCTGCCGCGCTAAGTTTATTTAGCCCCAATCAAAGAAAAATTTACATTTTAAACCGGAAACTAGGGAAAAGGGTGGACGACTTAAAAAGATCGTGAAAAGATAGTGGAGTGGCAAGATAGCGATTAAACAGAAACTCGTTTCCGTGATCGTACGCTTTAGTCGTGTCGACGATCTACCGCAAAGAATAAAAAACGGGCCTTTAATCCAAATTAATAAAGGATGGTATTTCATTTCATCCCTTGAGATAGCATTATCACAGACTGAATTAACAGTTCTTTGGTGGTCACCCTCTCAAGCTCTTTTGCACCAAGGCGTGGAAACAGACTTTTCAGACAGACCCTGAAAGGCCAAAATCTCCTTCTGACTTCGGTCATTTAAAGTTACGCTGGTTTTATCACGCTGCCCAACCTTGTCGATGTCTCGGTTGATCGAAATATCACTGTAATCTACTTTGTTTCTTAGCGTTCAGAGCTAACTGTGCCCTTTGTCTTTGTCTAAGATGAAACTTATTCAGTCTTTCATTTATTATTTCTTTAGTTACTCCTAGTGTGAAACAACAGATCGACGGACAAAAAGTTTGAAGAAATTGCCTACGAAATTACAGCCTGATTTCATTTCAAAGCAACCTCTTGTCAACACACCTCGCGGCTCTAATCCTTGTCCATCTATTGTGACTTTTAGGGTGAGGTGAGGGGGGAGAAAATGGAGAAAATCGTTTCCTGTCTGAGGAAACTACTTCACTTGAAAGACGACTCTTGAAAGCCAGTGAAACAGGAGAACTGTGTCTTCACATAACCCGATAATTGTTAATATTTCCCGTTCAGGTTAGGAACGTCAGAAGAAGATAAAAGGCATGTTCTCCTTCAGTCACCCTTGCGAAACGTTCAGTTTTATTTTAAGGCGCTTATCTTTGATACATACATCAGTAAATTTGCCTTTAGGTTCAGCTTCTTAAAAATAAGTGGGCTAAATTTCAAACGGAATTTCTGATATCTTTTATTACCCTTTTTTTAATCTAAGCAATTCCATAATCGTTTCGTTTTTTCATTGGTTTTTAAGTAAATCTTTTTAGGTCTTTACAGTGTCTTTAGTCTTAACTGAAATCAGTAAAAACTGTTTGATCAATGCGTTAAATTCCTTACAATTATAAAAATTTTTCCAATACAGTATTGTTGTTCTATAAATGGCGTTGATAGTTTTAGACAGATGGGTCATGTTTTGAAAAATGCCTTGCATGCACCAATGAACTCTTGTGAATTTCAGCAATTTAACCTGGCATTTTGCTGACTGACGCTCTGTATCCTGTTCTCTCTGTTGCCTATTTTTATAACATGAGTCGGACGAGCTGATGGAAATATAAACCAAATATTATTTCCGTTTTCATAGAATTCAATGCTCTATCACATAAAGCAAGCCGCAATTATCAATTGGCGAGAAAATTACATCCAGTTTCAATGCGTTCTTCAACTAGCGGCGCTCGGTTCACAGCATTACAAGGCGCACACCCGGATGGAGGGGGGGGGGGTACTCAACAAAAGTCTAACTCCTCACCCTCTTCATCATATACCATTTATGACAGATAGTAACCCCTTTCGTGTGCCTTTTGTTGACAAATTGTACCCCTTTCACGTACCAGTTTAGAACGATACATTCCTTTTTACTTCTGTAAGTGCACCGTCCTTTGAATATGAATGAATTACTAACGTAGGACGAGAGCCCGGAGCAGGAAGTTTGCTTGTTTTTCAGCCATAAAATGCACCGTGTTGACCCTTAACAGACCGCAATGGCAGATTTCCCTGCAAACCCTTCTAATACTTAAACTGAAGCAATCCCTACCCTTTCATATACCTGAGGCCTGAAAAAGGTACCTCAATCGAGCAGCTCCTCTTCGTATAGACAATTACAGGGAATACCTCCCCCACCCAAGGAGGGACACACATAAAAGTGGATTATAACGGAGTCGAACCGATTTCTCTTAATGGATTAACACATTTCGCGAAACTCGTAACTGCAGCGTACTTTGACTCGCAGCTCACATGTTTTTGTTGTGAAAGCCTTTCTCCGATTTGCCAAAATAATTTGATGAAGCGAATTCCAAGTGATAACGTTTCAAATGTTGATTTACCGAGGTTAGAATAACTCCAAAATATTGCAAATAAACATGTTGTTTGATTTATTTAATCTTACAAAGAGGCTGCCCCACAATAAATCCTCAGGTTTAATCCCTTCTTTAAAAGCCATACCGACACTATGTAACGTGACCTTTTTGGCTTTTTGTGAAATGGAAATATAGACGTTAATAGGATGGCTTCGTCTCCATCCCTATTTATAAATATCTTTAGAAAAACTAAAAAGTGTTATGGATCAGTTAAACGGTCCAAGTTTCAGTCTTTGCTAAGAGGATTTCCATCTTGGTTGATCCGTTTAGTAAGGATTAAGTGATCATTCAAGTTTAATAGAAGTTTTGAGAACCATAAAATAAATAAATACCCACAGATAACTTATTTTAAACCTTGATAGGAAAACAAAAACTCCTCCACAGACTTCCTTTATTCAGTTTCGATTATATCCGTTGTAACAACAAATACATTCAAAGTTTTCCGAAATTCATTTACGCCAAATTAGCAAGAATGTGAAAATCTGCTGTTAATTCTTTGCATTTCCGTGATGTTCCTTCCCACTGTCGTTAATCTGCGGGAAGAGATTCGCGCACCCTTCTCTCCTGTGTTTATCACACGAGGAAGCGGATAAAGATCGTGTACAAGAATTCAAAACTCTCAGAATCACGGTGAAACGAAAACAAAACTCCATCGAGGCAAATTCCTTGAGAAATGACTGCAGAGAAAATTTGCATTCTGTTCTTTCCTCTTCTCACTGTGCCGGAGAAAATTTTTCGTCTCAAACAGTGAATGCATGCCTCGAACTGAGATAAGTGGAACCTCTAGTTGCAATTGGAACAAATCTAACTTGGCTGTTGAGTGATGACTGGCCACAAACTGTCTTGCCGGAATATCATTGGTCAATACCGACCGTAGGCCAACATAAAAGCCATCGGGGCTAACGGGATTTTGCCTTGTTTCCTCTTTATCACGAAGTGAATAACACGCGATATGTCATTGAGCTAGAATCAACCAGTTATTAGCTCCTGCTTCAGTCAACATGGCAAGCAATTGTGGGCGAAATCGAGAGAACGTCTTTGGATTACGCCGGCTTTTGACGGTTACCCTTATTGCTTTTGTATTTGCTCTGGCGTGCTTGGTAGACAAAACGGAATCTTCCAGGGAGACCAAAGGCTTGAGAAGTTCGAGATCAAGTAAGGAAAAGGTAAGTGGGATGTTTCGGATTTCCTTTAAGCAAACTTGAGTTATGGCACCGCTACACTTCAACGATGTCTTCATTGACTTACCTTGTGCTTGTGTCACCTCGAAGAAGGCGTGCGAGACCAAGCTTTACCAAATGCTCAGTGATTATGAGTTCTTCTGCATAGCTTGTATAATAATTCCCACATGATAGCCTTCTTTATCTGCGATCAAAGTGAAAGCAAAACTTATTTACTCAAGGAAAGATTGGTTTATTTATTTATTATTGGCAATCGCAGAGATCATTAGCTGTCACATGAGTCATAGCAATTACAGAACATCGCTGGGGCGCAGGCTGCCCCTGTAACTGACATTTCATTTCACGACAAGACTCGAAGTTGCCAGATGTGTTAAAGATAGCCACCCGGGCGCTAACCCTGAATTGGTCATGATGATTTCACATATGGGGAGATGGAAATGTCACGCGCAAAAATAGGAGTTAGCTCATTTGAAATTTATTGATCTTGCCTCTGGCAGTGCTACCCACGACTTAAACAGCCATTTATGAACATTTCCCCCCAACAAAATAAACTTGTTTTTTTAATGGGCGCCATTGGCGATATTGCGGATGTGGTAAGACAGATTGATCAATATTAATAGAACTTAATTCCGTTATATTATTTTAACATAATAAGGTTTAATATCACTTTGTTGTCCTTATTTTACTGAAATTCCGATGAAAATTCAAAATATCTCACATTTTTTGGATCACCGAGTTGTTTTAAAGAGCTGTCTGAAATGCGATAAATGATTATAGTCCGGTTGCACCAAAAAAAGACCTGAAAGACCATAAAAATAATTGATAAACATATCTACGATTGTAAACACACTGAGCTAAAACCTTGAGCATATAAACTAAGGAAAGAGTGCAACTCGACTTTGTCCTTTATAAACCAAGGGCACTCCTTTTCTAGCTTGAAAAGAGACTTATTTTATTGTCGTGAAACGAAAAACGAAACGTGTTAACTAGAACAGCCATTTTACGGGTCCAGGCTTTAAAGAGTTTCTATTTTGCCAAAAATCCTCCTCTCTTGATTTAATTCAACAAAGCGTTAATTGGTCTCTCAAATAGGGAGGGATATGTGTGTATCAAGAACACTGAGCCACGTGTCAACTACACAACGTCTGAAGAACGCCAGGGGAGTGACATGACAGCACTATTAACTCATGACCATTGTAAAAGAAGTCTTTTTATAAGTGTGTTTAAGTGTTGAGGAAGCACGTCTTTAGTCTCTTTTGTCTTACGTGGACCGTTTCTGCAAAGTAAAACTCAGATTAAAAAAGAACTTTTTCAACAAAAGAACACAAAGAAAACTATTATGATTATTTTTTGGTGATTTTATTTCTCGGGATAACATTGTCAGAACTTTAAAAAGTTAACCTAACTTGTTCACGTTGCAATTCGTTTCTTCGACCGTAGAAAAACATGAAACTGAGTTTATGTTTACTTTGTTGGAAATGCATGTTTGGATTTCCACAAATCATTGATATGCCATCTCTTCGTCCTCTTCGTCCACTAAGAGATTCTCACTGTCTTTTCTTTTTATTTTCATGTCGTTTTACTTAGGAGAAATGCCAAGTTGAGAAAGATGGTGAAGGAATGTACTTTTTGCGATGTTTTAATCCGTCTGCAGAAAATGGAAAAAATGGCAAAAACAGAAAATCAGAATCGGGAGAAAGTAAACGAAACAAAGTAAGTGGTTAAAAAAACAATAGGGACTTTAAGATCCAACGACAGTAACAAGAACGCTTAAAAATGAAAGCGTTTTTTCAGTCTTTTACCGATTACTTTGTCATTATATACTTTGTCAATTGTAGGGGAACCCTCCTGAATTTCAAGGGGCTGAAAAGTCCTCCATCATTTTATTCTTTGGTTTGATTATTAAAAAACGTTTTCGTTGTTGTCCCCGTTGGATCTTAAAGAAACTTGGTCAAAACTTGGGAAATGGAAAAGTTCCAATCCTAGAAAGTTCTGCCTTGTTCTTTCGCAGATCGGTATATCTCGTTGAAAAGGCAATTTAAAATTCAATCTATCAATCTTTTGTCAGGTTATATAGGCTTAGTTCTAGATAGAGTGTTTCATCTTTCATAACAATGATATTAAAAAGAACTGTGCTTTATAATACGACATTGTGGCCAGCAGTTCAGGCTCGGAATTGTCACGCAACAATTTTTAGAAACATATAATTATCAATCTGGTAAACTAAGTAAACGTATAAAATTTTGCGCACTGTTGATATTGGCGTTGTGCTGTCTAAGAACATGTAAGAAGTATATTGTTTAAATGCGAGAATGAGTTAACTTAAAGTCTAACAGAACAAATACAAATCATGTCAGGTTGCTGCTACCCTTTTTCCGATGAAATTGTAACACGTAGAACCAAGAGCATTTTTCAAAATTCCGGCGCTTTCATGGAAAGGTGGTTTTAAAACATTTAACGGTTAGTTTCTGTTCGGGTGTACGTATCGGGATTTTAAGGGTGCGCTTGTTTCAGTTTTCCTGATAGTGAGAATCTGAAACCGCTTTCATACAAAAAAATCCGAGACACCTTAGCTTGACCCTTTTCAAATCTGGCAAGGATGCTAGATGAAGTCTTTCAACATTGTCCTCTCTGTTACATGTACTCTATCTGTTCCACTCCGGTAAACAAATGTAACCAGGTTTCACGGTTTCGTCAGTAGACAATGGCACTAATTCAACCTGTTAGCGGCATCTTTTAAATTTCAGATTGATTTATACGTTTGCAGACTTCTTTTTTGGTTTTAATTTCAAACCCTCGAGCATTTCACAGCATGCAGAAATTCACACCGTTTCACTAATTAATTCTAGCCGATTAGAGTCTTCGGCAGTAATTTTGCTCGGCAACAAAAACTACAAACGCTACCGACTTTTCAATTTTAATGCCCTTTCCGCATGGTTCAAAAATAAGGCAGTAGTTTCCATATTTTTTATTCAAGATGACGAAGAAAATAGTGTCAGGTCTTGGTGATCTCCTATATACTTGTTTTCAACAATAAACTTCTCTCTTCGGCGTCCATGCATGTAACCTTTAAAATGTCTTTTTTGCCGGAAAAAAATGTCATTGTCGCTTTGAAGCAGTTGAAAATCATTTTAAACCGATTTAGATTCGTTTTAGGAATTCTTGGCAAATTTGTTCTAACCTAAGAGTGTTGTTTTCATTCTGATGCTAACGCGCGCTGTAAACGGAAATTTTGCCGTGTTTTTCTTCCACTCATGTCAGCGGCTTGATGTTTTGTTCAAGGATTTTGGTAGGCTAAATACAGGCTGGCAAGCGTAAGGTTTTCACAAACTAGTGCCTTAAGCTAGGAACATGTGTCTTCTCTGGAAATCCAAACTATGGACGGAATTTTTGAAGTTGCCTACTGATAAAAGAATCGCTACTATTTTGATTTTTTCAATGTCTGTGTGCGCACCTGCACAAACTTTTTTATGAAATATGCAACAGTTAGTCATGTATTCGGCTAAATTAGTAAGAAGTCTTGATTTAAATGTCACCATGTCGATTCTACTTAGCGCTATGTTTTTTTATTTCTGATGACCTATCGGGTTTTCGCAAGTCGTCGTTTTTCTCAATCCATCCCCATGAAATCAATGCGTGGCATAAATAAATAAAATAAATAAATCACTTAACGACTAACTTTTTTCTTTTATACCATTCCTGATCGAACCAAAAGTTAAGACTTGTTGGTTTTTGAGGAGATGGGAAAACTGGAGAAAAACCTTTTGTAGCAAAGGACGGCAATCACTCAACACAAACTCAACCCACAAAGACACGTTGAATAACTCGGTCTAAAAGGGCCTAAAGGTCTTCTAAAGGAGGAAGTGACCAGCTCGTTCCTTTACACATTTTATACGGCTTGGAAAATGATCTTCTTGAAGCCGTACGTAGCTAGGATGTGAGCCCTCATAAAAGGATGGATGTCTGACTTTGCTGACGTATAGTGGTGTAATTCTTTCATTCCGAGACTACTTTACGGCGAGGTTGCCCGTCAATCTAACTTTTTAACATAGAACAATACTCATTTCTAAGGACTTTACAAAAAAAAATTTGAATTTATTTTTGTTTTCTGTCTCTCCTTTGGTCGCCATTAGAAGTGTAAGGCCCAGGGCAAACCGGTCGAACTTCTCGTGAGATGAATCAAACTCTAATTTGTAAATTGGGTCGACCTAACTTAAGTTAAGATCGTGTGCTGGGTCAGAAGTCGAACTTAGCACGCATCCAACCAATTATTAGTTTAGTTCGTTGCATGCGAGGGTCGACGTTTGTCCGGGAGACGATCTTCAGACGTTCTATTCGTCTGAAGCAGATGGATAGAACGTGTTGGACGATCCAAACTTATTCAGACGAACTTAACTGAGCCAGACGTCGAAGTATTCATGACCTTAACTCTTTCGTCTCTTGAAAGTTCGACGTGTGGCCTAGGCCTAACTGTTAAAATATGGTCTTTCCTGACATGATCGATATCAGTGCAGATACCTTTGTGGGCACTTAACAAGAGAACTCAATACGCTGTTTCTTTCGATATAGCATCGTAGACGAATTAGCCTCGTGGCCCCTTTATCAGATACTGTTAAAAGAGAAGCAGAGAGGATTGTTGAACTTACTGAGTATGCCAATTATGTTAGTAGTTAAATGACAATGCCATTTTTCCTTCGTACGTCACATATGCAGGGAAGGTGGATCTACGCATGGACAACTGAAATCTATAATATCTACTTATTTACCGCCTAAAGCAAAGGTGGCCATGATTTCCATTTTCGCGTAATTTTTAAGTGCGTACCTCAAAAGCCACAAAGGCCATCAATGTCAGACGTACAAACATCGCCTCTATTTCATTTACGGGCGTAAAATTTACTTAAATTTACACGACTTTGGAAACCCATTTTTACTATCTTCTACGCCCCAAAGCTTTTCCCTCGTTTTGCGCAAGTCTGGCCCGCAGAATGCTCCCTTGCGCAGGACGCATGCGCATAAGTTTTTTTTAGTAACAGACGCATGCGCAGCTTAAATTACAAGAGTCAAAAGCCTAAGCTTTGGGGTTAAGATTTGATTATGCAGTGCTTTTACAACGTACAGTCTGGTTTTCAGCATTTCACAAAATAAAATTTGTCTTGTTTTGACTTTGGGTGGCCAAAGATGGGAGTGAATGGGTTGATGGCCTTGAAGCTAACCAGAAAGGAGATCCCAGAAATACTAAAAATCGCTTCAATTAAAGTACACATTAACTAGAGAAGGCGCGTAATATACTGTATAGAGAACGACGAACTCATCCTATTTTTTATAACATTAATTAGGCCCTGTTCAAACGTTGATCGTTTCATGTACCGAACTTAATAGCTATTTAGGTCGACCCAAATGATATAAGTTCGACGGTTGATTCAGACCGATGTCGAACTTAATTATGCAGACTCAATGGTCGATTGTCTTAAATGCTTACAAGTGAAAATAAATTTTAGTACTTTATGCGTTAGGTGCGGCACGTGAGAAGTTCGACGTTTGAAACGAAGTCCCTCCACAGTCAAAATTCCCATGTGGACCATTAATATTCGATCTTAATTCATGGGTCGACCCAAATTAGATGTGTCGATTTTAATTGATTCAAACGTCGATCTTCTCAGGGATTAGGTTCGGTACATGAAAAGATCGACGTTTGAACTGGGCCTTATGAAAACACAAATTTGTCTGCATGAAACAACGTCTTGGAGGCTGCCTCATCAATACAGGCAGACGAGGATGCTGAGCTTGCTGGGTAGTGATCAAATATGGAAATGTTTGTTCACTTAGACCTTCCGGCACTCGGTTTATCTTAATATGATGAATGGTCCAGTAATGTTAACTTGAAGCAAGGAACGAAATTAAAAATCGCGAAATTTTTGATCCAACGAAACGAACAGCTCCGGTTTTAGAGTGGCAGTGATCGTTCGATCCCTCTAATTCCACCTCTACTAAGTGGAAAACATCTTAAATAATGCAGGCACTTCAAATCAGACAGAGTTTCGACTAAATAAACAACAAAACGACTTATATTGATTCTTAAGAAAATAGAACACCCACTCTTAAATATAAGACCATGGACTTTAAGTGGAATGTAATCTATGTAGAGCTTGTTATTGTCTAAAGTTTGTTTCAGCTATTTTGTCGGTTTGCTTTTGTTCCTTTGACATTGTTGTTTGTAACAAGTACAAGATCTTCGCTGTTGCGTATATAGTTTTGCTCCTATGAGGAAATCATTTGTTTATTTTCTGTTGTTTTTAATATGCGGTTGGAATTATGGCTTCCGGTTATTTATGACATGATGAAAAAAAAACCCTGAAAGAGTAGTTTAAGCTGAAGATTTGCATTAAAGAAAACATGTTCAATAACGGACAAAATCTCATTTCTCGTCGATGCGAAAGCCGCTTAACAATGATATAACATTAAAGAGAACCAGTTCAAGTTTCATAGAAAGGTCAAAGGTATATACAAATTTCTGTTTTACAGACATTTACCAATTAAAAAAAGAGTAATGTGCACTAGAACACAAGGCAAAGATTTTGTTATTACTTTAGACCTTTGCTCCGCTTTTTTTAGTGATGTCAAGTTTCTTTATGGGAAGCCTCTGATGTCAAACGGAGGAAACCGATCGATTTAAGATGTTTCCAAAGTAATCCGTAGGGAAATGCGTCGCTCCTTTGAACTCCCAAAACCCCTCTTAAAAATACGCTTAATTACGTCGGTTAAGAACTTCACTATTTCAGCTGGAAGTATTTGAATTTTCCTCGGTATCAAACCAAATTTTAGGAGTCAGCTGTAATTCATGACAATTCCAAAGGAGCACCTGATCAAGGGGTTTTTGTTTTTAAAACATGTCGCTAGGCGTTCTACACTGACTGCACTGTTCTCCCATGTTATTGTAATGGCTTTCAAGGCCTGGTTGATCTACATATAGCTTAGTAATACAGTTTGCCGTTCTAGAATGTTTTAGCTGAATATATCACCAGGGGAAAAAGGAAACTTATCCCCTCAATTATATGATTCTTTGCCCTTTCCGGAAATCACTTCTGACCCCGTGACATTCAAACCGTGCATTCGTATCGACTTCTAGGCGCTCTCAAAGAATTATGAATTCTCGGACTGACACGCAAGCCATGGCAAACAGTCTTTTGTCAAAAAGCATTAAAATGGAAATAAAGAGGAATTGGAATTACCCCCTTAGAGAGTTGAATTGCTGTGTATAAGCTATTAGGTCATCGGTCCGAAAATTATGGTCATTTGATGCACATCTTTGGGTCCTTATTTAATCAGTGACATGTTAAAATGATGTTATTTGGTTTCAAGAGAAAAAATCGCAAAATAAAGTTGAGTCCGCGGAATTGCGAATTTATTCAGTACTTGCGGTTCTTTCAAGCACATCACCAAATATAGAAAAAAAATCAGTGGTTAATTTTAGACGTATTGTAATTCCTAAGTACACCTCTCAGTACTTATCTTCCTTCTAGGTTGTCAATTTGGTGTAATTTAATGAAACAAGGGCGTTAACCTCGTTAAATTTTTAGACTTTTCTTTTTCGGAACGCACGCAATCTTGAACTGACCTATGCATCTTAACTAATGCCGTAGAAACTGGCACAGGTTACAAGCAAATTAGTTTCACTGTAGTTAGTTATGAGAACAGAAAGGTCAGGGTAACATGGTAACTTCACGGTCCACGCACAGGAATCTTCAAAAAATATATTTATTGATAGGTAGATCAATTAGATTTTAGGTCGCTCAGAACCAACCCGGAACAAAAAAAAAGCCATAACATAACATGATCTATTTAGCCTCGAGACAAGATGCATGCAGTAATTTTGAGACCTTCAAACTAGACAACCTTTTCACAGGGAAGCTTTTTTACTACTAACTATTAAAATTTTGTCTATTTTTTACGTCTAGTGACTGAAACGTTTAACGCTATTAAGACTCTCGTAAAGTGACGCGTGGCATATGCAAAGAGAGATGTTGTAGAATTGTGTGGTCCCAGTACAATGCGTTGCATTTTTGAGAAATAGGAAATTGTCATCGCTTTTTAAACTGTGTGACAGTAAGGCTCTGTAGCTATAGTGCATGAATAGCAGGAAAAAATACCCCACAACCTCAAAAATTGCGAGGAATTTAATCAGAATGATCTCGAAGACTACAAATAGTATACGTAAATAGTGTTACCATTTAATTACGGATTCTGTCAGCCCCCAAATTGACTTTGTTTCCCCTCACGATAAATTATAGACAGTGCAAGGCATGAAACTATCAGTAACACACTTGTTTAACCATTTAATAGCTTCAAGATTTTTCCCCTCGATTTTCACGCACTCTACTGCGGATCTTAAGGCCCGAAGGGTGAAACATATGCAGGTGTACTGAAGTTGTGTGGGCTTTTCTCGCTTGTCGGTCATCACCCCATGTAGCCATCAATCAAATGCCCATCAGTCAGTTGTAGATCGGAAGAGGAGGTTATTTTTCAGCCAAATTTCATTATCGGTACTTCAACGAACGTACGTCTTCAGCTTCCAAGTCACGATAGCTTTTGAAAAGACTGAATAATAGAAATATGTTGTATTTCCTTTCAACTTGTATATTGATTCTGATAACGATCTTAAATACTTAGAGGTAAAACACAAACATGTATGTATTGTTAAATGCTATTTGAATAATAAGCTTGTCATCCTAGAAGAAAGTAACTATTATTCATTTGAATTGTCAAACTAAAACATGTTAAAAGCCATAAAATTTCTTCAATTAACTAATGCAGGGCTGTGTTAGCTTCCAGATCTAGCATTACCATTTGTTTGTTAATCATAGGGATGGGAAAGAATGGTGGGCAAATATTTGCATTTTTGAAGGATGGTGGAGAACGGGTCACGGTTGATGAGGCCAAATAGCGAGATGGTTAAACTACTTTGATTTTCATCTGCTTGTCTTTCTACTCAGCATCCATTCATTTTCAATTAAGATTAATATGGGCGTAAGGGATGGTTTACAGCACAGGCAGCCCAAGCTCACCAGGAGAATGGCATATAAACCGCACTGTAGTAAGCAAAATTACGAGTTTGAATACAATAGTGTTTAGTGATTCGACCTGCGTTTGCTGTACGTATACAGTAACGTTCATTATCGTGACGATGCTACACTTCCACAATGATGAAGGTCGACAAATGCTATTACAATAGACAAAATCGCTTTGAATTTCCACCCTAATATTCAGAGGTCATAGACCTTCTTCAAACTTGTTTCCTGCATGCCAAATCCTATTTTAAGCTCCTCAAGAGGCCTCTTAAATAAAATTGGCCTTTCCTGTCATGTGCCCTTAACTTGACCCACACACCTGAGTCTTTGCCATCAAACACGGCAGGCTGCCACTTTGTTTACTTTTCATCGCTTTTCATCATGTGGGAGGAAAAGAAGTCGCTTTTTCTCTCGTCCGCCGAATACCAGGGAAAAGAAGCCTCTGCAAGCCAAGGCAATTTGGGGGCACTTGACTGCTGCCGTCTATTTATCTTGTAATGCAAATTAATGTGTAAAATGAGAATGGCAAAGAAAGTTTACTGATCTAGATCCGAGAGTTCCTGCATCACTTATCGGTTTGTGGTTGTGGTTTTTGAGGCTCTTAAACTCTTAAATATTTTGAGTATGATCGTTTATGTCTTGTTGCTCAATTTATCCTTGGTTTTAAAAAATCCTATTACCTTTTTTGTAATTATGGTAGTGTCTGATGGTGAGCTTGAAACAAAGGAAAACAAAATTCAAACAAAAGGGAACAAATAGGCCATTTGCACTAAGAGGTCATGTGACATCGTTTTTACAACAATGAAAGTTATATGATTTTGCCCTCGAAAAACGATAAGTGGGTCATATCTTAAACAAAATAATGGTGATTTGGTTTTTCAAACCCGCACCATCTTCTTAAAATGAGTAAGTTCGTAGCTGGTCCTGTGACCAAAATATGATTTATGAATTACCTCTTTCTGAACACAAATTTTGCACTTAAACTTCAAGGAAAATGTTGAAAGATGATGTGGTAACGTTTACGGTACATCTGAGCGTAACTATCAAACGTTTAACAAGATATCAGCGAAAAGTAGTTTTGTCCGTCATGTTGGAGGGCAAGAGTACGCCCTCCAACATGGCGGCCAATACAAATCATACTACTTTGTTGAAAAATCAAAGTGCCATAAAATATCTCCCTTAAATGCGTTTCCTCTCAAATTTCGGGTGTAAGATAATTTTTACGTGCTCTGTCAATTTTTGGCATCAGCAAGATTCCAACTCATTGTTTAAACTAAGCATTGGTCACGTGACCTCTAAGTGAAAGTGGCCAATTAAACCACAGCATCTACTTTCATGATCCCGTTACAGTTTTGAAATTATGGTTTATTTTTTTCTGTTAGTGCTCGAGTGAATGTCGTGGACTAAGACGAGGTCAAAACCACAACACCACAACATCTACTTTCATAACCCTTACGAGTTTTTAATTAATTGTTTATTTTTTCTGTTAGTGCACGAGTGAATGTCGTGGAAGACGAGGTCAAAGAGGCCAGCGAGGAAAATCTGGATCCAAAGGTCCGCGGGGCCCAAAAGGAATTCCGGTGAGTTTCGCCTGTAAAAGTGTACTCTCTCCTATTCCAGAAAGTGCCGTAAAGAAAGAGAACGTGGTATAAATGTGCGACTCCTTCCTCCCGCTCGTGCACTCTTCCCTTCTTTCCAGCCTCTGCGCATTTTTAAGCCTTTCTAGGCCCAGCGGAAGTAGAGAGGGGTGTGCAAAGGACGAGGCTCGAAAAGCGATCAACTTTAGTTTTCCCGGTATTGCTGTTGCTCTCTTCTTTTAGAGAAGAAACGGTAAAAAAAAAAGGCTCACTACAAGCCACGCGAGGCTCACAGGGCTGAAGCTTGTCCCAAGTTTCTATAGTGTGAAGCAATATCGGGAAAACTAAAGTCGATCGCTTTTCGAGCCTCATCGCAAAGGCTTCTCAGGGAAAGAGTTAGCGGGTGGCTACTGTTTAGAGATGGACGTTGAAAAGAGAGATCAGAGCAAGAGTGAATGATGTATGTACTGTCCGCTAAAAACGGGAATTTCGGAAAGGTTGAGTTGGCTGTCAGTGGAGGTTCGACTGTAGTTATTTCTTCTGTAGTTAATTTACACTTCTTAAAGTAGCGGGATTTATTTGTGCATGTTTCATTACTGATACACTTAAGTGAAGAGAGCTACGGTTGAGAAAAGTTTCCCGTCTAATGAAATATCCATCTTGTTGGCAAGGCTTGACTGATCCGGATCTACACATCTTAAGTTGGACGTATTAACAGTTCAGTCACCACGCCTTTACCATGTTAAAGAAAGACCAGCTAAGTAATTTTTTTCTTTCGTTAATTTAGGGAAGGAACGGGTTGGACGGAGTTCCTGGACTCAGGGGCCCGGTAAGTTAAGATGAACATAATCTTGTTTTGATAAAATTTTATCGTTGTATAAAGACCTTTGCATTTATGCATCGCTTAAGTATAAGCCCTAAATCGCCAAGATCAGTGAAGTAGCATCTTCGAACCAGTGTCGCAGATTGTTTGAGGTGGCTAAGGTCCCACAACATTTTTTCTTTGCAATCATGAATCGAATACTAGAAACAATAATGTTCTGTGAACCCTCAACCGCCGCCCGGTTAGCTCAATGAGATAAGCGCCGGTCTGCTGAGCGGGAGGACGCGACCTCGGCCGGACCAACACTCAGATTCTTTAAATAACAGAGGAGAAAGTGCTGCCTTTGTAATAACATCTGCAAACGGTTAGACTTTCTAGTCTTCTCGGATAAGGACGATAAACCGTAGGCCCCGTCTCACAAGCCCTTACACATGTAATAATTCTGTGGGACGTTAAAGAACCCACACACTCTTTGTAAAGAGTAGGGCACGTAGTGCCCGGTGTACTGGTCTGTCTCACTTTCACACTGATGTATGGGGGCATCATTACTCATTCCTTCATTACTTGTCAACTGCACCTAAGCAGTCTGGCAAAGTCCCCCAACAAGTGTTGTGAATTATCTCTGAAAAGCCCTGAGGGGAGTGGATAATAAGATATTTACAATTTACAATTTACAAGTCGGCCCCATCACCGTCAAGTCAGCTTTTGGCCATGGTGGGGCCCAAAATGAAAAAACTCCAGGGGCGGGGCTTACCAAAAGTCAGAATGGCCACCCGGACTGGTCATCTTGAAAATGAAACAATCTTATTTCGAGAGTTTTTGCTGGAACCCAGCAACACTTGCCACTCATAGTATTTGGAAAAAGACTGATATTGTTTCAAAGTTCTGATTAAAATTGAATTTTGGCCTGGCAGGGCAGGTAATCACCCCATGGAGACTTGGCTTGGAATTGTCCTGTTCGTAGTTCGGCGACTTAAGTTGATTTCATGATGCACTATGGACACTAACATTTCCTTTTTCGCTTAAGCCAGGACAAATGGGAGAAAAAGGATTACAAGGACCCTCTGGACTTCAGGGTCTGCAAGGGCTAAAAGGAGAAGCGGTAGGACTTGGTTTTATGGTCATATAATATTTAACACGCTTGATTTCCATGGCCCTGATCATGATTATTGCTGCAATATGGTTTGCCTTTTGTCCGATAATAGTCCACTGCGAATAAGACCTTGATATTTTTTAGGTACCGTTTGCAGCGTTCAACGGAAACAGTATAGTGTCCGATAGCCTGGGGCTTATGGATTTTGCTATCGGTTTGTATTCTGTTCTTAGCATGCCCGACGGTTTCTTGGGGCCTTCAAATTACAGAAGAACTTTAATCAACACTGCTCATCACAAATGTTTTTCAGGCTAGTTGAAATGACTTTTGGGCTAGTACATGTTAGCTACAGCTTGTCTGAATGACAAGCTGTAAAAATTACTTTCTTTGCATCGTGGTTTTGAGTAGTGCCCTCCTGCAAGCTTGATTGTTCCAGTCATTTGTTCTCAGGATGAGCTCCATGTGCTGTACGTCAGTTTCTCCACCATCTGAATAAAATACTTGGATTTAGAGGTGTTTTCACCTCAGAACACCCATTTAGACAGTTACCTTTTATTTCTTTTAGGGACCTCCAGGACCCTCAGGAAATCCAGGACCGCCTGGCTTGCCGGGGGGCTGTGCAAAGGCATCACGATTGGGGACAAGTACTTCGGCCCCTACAGTACATTGCTTACCTGGTAAAGAGGGTCCTAAAGGACCCAAAGGGGACGTAGGGGAGCCTGGTGCACCTGGTCCTGCAGGACCCCGGGGATTTAAAGGCTCAAGAGGGATCAAAGGAGATACCGGCTCTCGTGGAAGGAAAGGGGACCAAGGACCTCCCGGTGATTTTACCGGTCTAGAATGCTATCCCCGATACACAGACTGGGTAAACAAGGTTGACTGGTTCAGGGACCATCCTGAGATTCACTGTGATAGAAGAGAATTCCTCCAAGGATTTAGCCTCCAAAAAATTAAAGCTCGAGCCGGCCAGGGGAGATACAAATACACTTGCTGTTCATTAAGACTAGCTAATACGCCTTGAAAAGTTTGGAAAAAGAAGCAAGTTTCAGGAAACAAGTTCCCAGTCCAGGTTTCTGTTTTATTGATAGTTGCCTCAAAACCATGAACACCGATTTCGGTTGGTTGCAGTTTCAGTTCGGAGTTGATACTAACTCATAAAACAGCTTTTGGACTGTTCCAGTTGTTCTCAATAATTACTGCCTATTTGCCATCCACAAAACGAAATGAACAATACTCTTTTTAAGACGAAATGTTACTTGTAAATAACGAATTTCTGTTATTTTTAGGCCCCGTTCAGACCGAAATCCGGGCTGGCTGAATCCATTAGCCTGCAAAGGCAAGCGAGGAGCGAGCGAGGAGCGCGTGTCCGCCTCTGCAGCTGCAAACCCTGCGAGCAGAGGTTTCTCTCTTGCATGGCCTTCAGCGCTTACGAATTCGTTCACGTCGCTTCTCTGTCGCGTAGTTGGTTTGTGTGCAGGGTATCGCATTAAAAAAAAAAAACCCACTCTGTATAGCAGTTTTAGAAAGAGGTGGTTTCGATGGGCGGTTTCAGTGGTTTCATGTGGACGTAGGCTAATTTGTGTAGAAAGTATAAGCTTATGCTGTTTCAGAAATAGTCGGATTCGTGAGGATGGGGTCTTAGAGTTGCCACAAGTCGTCCTCACCAGTTCCACCGCAGAAAAAGCCGTAAAACGCGAGGGGCGGGATGTTTAGGAGCGAGTGTGTCAGGAACGCGAGAGGACGACCTTCGTCTCACGCCATATTAAATAGGAGGAAGGACTTTTTAACAAGTCTAGTTGTTCTTTTTTAGTTGGGATTTAACTAGTAGTAAAGCATTCCCATTCTTAAACGTCGACGTCAATGTCTTCAGGGACACGGTTTTCACTGTTATAGATAGCAATACAATTGTTATGAAAATGAAATATGTCTTAAGGGCATATTTTATTGGATGTTTTGGTGTGTAGTATTGCCGATCGCCAGTATCATCATCATCATCATCATCATCATCATCATCGTTATTATTATTATTACTGTGACGTCACGGCGGCCATGTTGATGTCCCAAACCAATTCTGTGGGAGTTGAACTGTTTTCTTATGTAAACGCTTTCTTTATTTCCATAAATTTGCATACATGCTTGTCAAGTCCGTGAAAATGCTCTTTCATCAAAGAACGAGTGAAACTCGGCGATGCTACACAGCAAAACGTCTAAAAAGCTATTTATTATCGAACCAGATAACTGTTACCGTTTTATAAGATTTTAATAAAGTATTATTGTTTATTGATCAGATCTAGAATTACATTATCCAATGATTTAGTTTTTAATAAATTATGTTATCAGGGGGTGATATAGAACGCCGATAACGGGAGCTTATCCCGGCACCACATAATTAAAAACAATTATCTGTTTTATTGTCTTATACACGTGTTTTACTCCTATTGCCTATTTTCGAATCCTCCATAGTACCGACCCTGCATGTTTGTCCCCAAATTTTGCATAAGTAATTTTTTTTTGCAAGTTAAAACTAGAGAATGTGGAGTTCTTCCAGGACCATTTTTAGACACATGATTTTATGCAAAATTTAGGGGTCAAACATGGTCGTAGATAGGAAATTCGAAAATATAGAATACAATTGAACTGGCCGTGTGGTGTCCTAACAAAATAAAAGTCGAAATCGTGCTCTGCCAAAGTGTCTCGCGTGACTCACAAAAATATACCGGTTAACGCCGCGAAATGTGAAAGTAAAGTACAGTCGAAGCTCTCCTTACGACCACTCTCGTCAGCGACCAGCTCTAATTACGACCTTTTGGGATTACCAAACTGGACTTTTCCTTAGTGTTGAAGCTCTCATAAGCAACCACTCGGAGTATTGTTCATATAAATCAACAGGCACACAGCACTAATGACAGGAGCGTACAGCTGAAATGTGGAGAAAAGTATTTTTCCAGTTTCCTGAAAGCGTTTGTATCATTAAATCGGGTAAATGATAAAGCTCTCTTGCAACTCTTCACATACAACAACACAAGGACGTTGATATTGATGGCGTAACAAATTTGTCCGTCTGAAGGGTAGACGGCGTTTCGCCCTTTGCTTGTCACTTCCTTGATTTCGTTACTTGTTTACCCTTTTTTCCTTAATCACTGTACCTTACTGATAAACTAGAGATGGGTAAAATAAGCAACCAAGAGAGAATCACTTGAAAAAACTGCATTTTCCTTCGTATTCATTTACTGAAAATAGGGAGTTTTAGCATCGACGATGGCGACGGCAGTGAAAACGCCACTTTTAAAATGGAAACTTTGTCGCGTTTATTCCAATTCGCTGAAAATGTCTAATGTGGGCTAATTTCCCTGGAGTTGATTTCTTGGGGACCGCATTCAAGTTTAAAAAGAGAAAGAAAATTTCGTCGTCGTTTGTTTACGTCCCCTATAGAACGTGAAATTAGGTATTTTCACGTCGTAGTCGTGCAGTGACGGCAAAGAAATGTAGAAAAAAGCGTGATGCACGACGTGCAAACTTGCTGTTTTGTTTAAACCTCTATTGCTGTTTTGAAGTTCTCGTTGCCGTCGCCGTCGCCGTCGCCGTCGTCGTTGTGAAACTCCCTACCGTCTTGTGGAAAACGCAGGTAATGGCATTTCCGAGACCCCGAATTAAAATTTTTTCTGGGGAAGCACACTAGATTGAGGCGCCTTCGGCGTTAGAACTCTTCTTCCCGTGCGTACACCTTTAAAATTCACGCTACGCCCCTGATGATGGTCTAAAAAGGTTGAAGGTAAAGTTTCGAATTTCCGAGGTGGTCGCTTACGAGAGCTTCGACCTTGAATAATTTGCTTTTTGGCCATCTTAGCTTACACAGATAAGGACGCTGCCTGCTTCGCAGATGCTCTAAAGCCTTTTGTATAGACTATATTAATGGTTTACACGGGTGCGTGGGCCGGCTGCAAGGTAGGCTAATATAAGGACAGTGCTGGATTAGTTTACACGAATAAGGTTTCGATTGAAAATAAAGAGTTTAGAGACCCTCTTTTAGTCTTAGGCAGGGGGGACGTAATAGCCGCCACCCTACCAACAACCAAACCAAAAAAAGAGGTTCGAGGAGGAAGAACTCTCTTTTGACAAACTGCTCAGCTTTCAAGAACCCTAACAAAGAGCTGTTCGATTGAAAATCCGGTGGCAACGAAGCCTGGGAACGAATATCCATCTGTCACACTTCCTGCTGTTTACATGACGAAGGCTTATTTTAGCTTTATTGTGGCAGCGTCTGCCATGCTGGTTTTCGAATGCCGATTGCAATCTGCATGAATTTTCCGTTACTTAGGCCATCTGGACTGTAAGCTGCTCTTATCCATCACTTTCACTTCCTCCGTTTCGTTTTACATCGCGCAATCTCATTTTTCGCGTTCAAATTAAGCTCTCCCAGGCCTTTTTGTTGAGTCAGCCCAGGTCATTGCAAGACGCACAGAAATTGTTGACAGTCGATAGTTCATTTTGCAAGAACCAGATTCCAGAATGGAAGTGCCGCCAAACCAAACGATCTACATCAACAACCTCAACGAGAAAGTAAAGAAGGAAGGTGAGTGTAACGAAAGTGTTAGGTATATGAGCATAATTCTAGGAAAAACGACACTCCGTTCGAGCGAACAGTGTGTGACAAATGCAGACTGTCAATGATGCTCTAAACACTATCCCTGTATTTCAAGAGTATTAGACAACATTGTTCACCTGCCAGTCTACAGTCTCCATCACACATCATGTTCCAATGCTGTTGTACTGGATGTGAGTTCACAGATTATGCTTTTGAAATAACATGGTTGCCACATGTCAAGAAATGGTCAAGGCAAAAAAAATTCTTGAAGGTCAGGGAAAAGTCAGTGAATTTCAGTTTTAGTCAGGGAAAAATTAAATGTTTGAAAGAAGTCAGGGAAAAGTGAAATTTTAAGAGTACATATTAATTTACTCTTTTCTCTCTACTTTTTAATATTACTGTTTTCTAACATTAAAATTCTCTTATACGTTTCACAGACATAAATCATGTAGTATTGGTAGAATAATTTTCATGAAATTGGACGACAAGCCGACGTTGGCTTTTCAAGAACATCATTTTTTTTTGCACATTGTGTAAATGAACTGTCAATACATGTACTGACGGGGGTTTTGTTTCAAGCCGGACACCGGACATAATTATGTCTGGTTGTTTGACATGTAACATCTGTGGTTCACACACAAAATAATAATTAATTTTTGAAGTGTGAAAAAAGTGTGAAATTTTTTTTACATTTATTAATAGAGTAAAAAATGAACAACTGAAAACTAACAATTATAATTGGCAAATCATAATATTTCATTTTTTGTGAGCATAATACCTTCCGGGTTAACCAATTCCAATCTAGAGAATGCAGGAAATTGCATTTTAGAGAGTCCAATAACTTTTAAAAATTTCCTGGGGCAGCATGCCCTTGGCCCCCCTTAGAAGTTTTTGACTCCAGCTCTCAACATTAGCACATTAGCACCTGCGGCACAAACAGTGCAAGTCTCCCAGCTGAACCTCTGCATCTGACACCTCCAAATGCCACAAAAAAACTCTGATCTGATGTACACTGCACGTGACTTGCTGAAAGCATAAATAAAAAGGTGGAGGGGAGGGTTGAGTCCATCATCAGGTCTGATGTGTGAAATTGTTAATTCAGTTGGTCAGGGAAATTTTACATTTGTCAGGGAAAAGTCAGGGAATTTCAGAAACCTCTGGCTGTGGCAACCATGAATAACTAGACAGTGTCCTGTATGTAATTTGTACTACATCAGTGTCTGATCTAGAGTGCACTATTGGGGGATTGCTGCAGTTTTCAAATACCTGTTCTAGGTCATTTTGGCATACTTCAAATGGTGTTTCAAAAGAAAAAGAAACAAGGAAATGAAATTTCTCCTTGTGCAAAATCTTCTTAAAACAGTATTTTGGTTTAAATTTCAGGAGATTAAAAGTAAAGCAAGAACCAAAATCCAGAGAATATGATGTATGTAAAAGGCTGAATTTTTCGAGGTCCCAGCCCCAGGCACTAGTTTGAATAAATGCCTTAGGGGGGTAGATTGGGTAGATCCACATGCTTAATTGAGAGCCCCTCTCTTGATGTACGTGAATGCAAAGTGATGTCAAAACAAATAAGGTTTTCAGCATTTTTTGGTCAAAAACACAAAGAAGAAACTGCAGAAATGTCCACGATAAATGTTGAAGCTGAGCCTGAGAATGATCAATCCAGTGAATCAAAATCAAAGTTGCCAAAGCGAAACTTTGAACAAAGCTGGCTAGGGAAGTCTAAATCCCTGAAGTTTGATCCACTAATTCAAAGGGTATGTTCTGTTGGCTTTGCCAAAAATCAAAGAAACAAAATCCTTTTACCATTGGTTGTGCAAACTACAGGACTTCAACAGTAGTTCCAGATAATGACTGTAGGTTCAATTCACTCTTGAACATTATATTTGTTGATAACATAACACCCGGTACATTAGAATAAAAAAAATCTAGTGACTGGGACACATTGCCCCCCTAGATGGAAATCCTAGATCAGACACTGCTATATCTGTGTGATGTAAATCCCAGGTGAGCCACATGTTTTGATATACATCCTTTAATTGACTAGATCGTCGATAACAGACCAGCCTTTACCTGAGTGTCAAAGAAAAGGTTTTTTTCTCAGACTAATTCTCATCTCAAAATAAATGACAACTGAAGCATTCAAACTAATACAATATTGAATCTTTGTGACTTTAGCAAGCCTAGAACAGACACTCGACTTTAATTGATTTTTCAGTCACTAACCAAGTTGTGATGTTCCTTGTTTTTAGAACTCAAGAAGTCACTATATGCCATTTTTTCACAGTTTGGACCTATTTTAGACATTGTTGCCCTCAAGACTCTCAAAATGAGAGGTCAGGCATTTGTAGTGTTTAGAGACCTAGGTAGTGCAACAAATGCACTGCGGTCAATGCAAGGCTTCCCATTTTATGACAAGCCAATGGTAAGTTTGTTCAGAAACAACAAAATCTACAGTAGCTGCATTTATGGTATGTATGAAGTAGATTGTCAAAGGCTTTGTGATATTAAAAAAAAATCACATCCAATCACATACCAGTAATTCAGGGAAATTCACAAACTGAAACTAAAACTCTCAAATTGTCTCCCTTCAAATAGGTTCCCTCCCCCCAAATGCTTTTGGCTAAGCATCCCCGGTTACATGTACACCTATCCTTATCCCTTTCTCTGGGGAGGTATTTGGAGGTATCCTTGTCTGTCATGTCTGTAGTGTGAATTTCAAATCTGTTTTGTCATGTGAAAAAGAGGAAGCTATGTTCATGTTTGCAACTCTCTTTGCTGTCACTGACAGTTTTGATCCAACAGTCTACTTAAAATTTTAAATGAACAATATATAATAATTATAGTAATTTTGTTTTTGTTATCAAAGATTGCCTGCTTACTTATCTCTTAACTTGCTTTCTTCAGTTGGACAAATGAATCTTGCAGCATTGTTTAATTAGATCGTGAAGGTTTTCTCTGTCCTATTCAGAATCTGTTCTGTGTTATTAAGCTTTTTCAATCTTTTATTGCTAGCCAGTGGACATGCCTACCTGGCTGTCAACAGCACTTCACTGCTTTATATTGTTGGAAGTTGTTGTTAGTATGGTAGTAGAAGCTGATCCTTATTGACGACAATAAATCCTTTTTTCATTGTGTTTGAGTGTTTTTCACAATATACTGTGACTTTCAAATCACCTTTTCTTGGTAGTTCCTAGGTAGTGCCTAGTTCATAATCATGAATGAGTCAATTTTTGTTCTCTAAACATTTCAGAGATTTGACAAGGGAGTAAATTGTTAAAATTAATAACGTTTTTTTCAAATTCCCCCAACATGCCGCTTATTATTTAGTGTAAAACTCATTGCAGTGTTTGAACATCAAGTGTTTCTCCCGCATGTAGACTGTTCTGAACAGATTTTCCCATATTTCCAGATATGGATTTTATATGATTTGGTGTTCATTTATAACAACTATTTCACTGTGACTGTGTCTTCTGTATGCCAGAGAATACAGTTTGCCAGAAGCAAATCTGATGCAGTAGCCAAACAGGAAGGAACATATGTACAGCGAGAGAAGAAACCACGTGAAAAGCGAAAGGCCCCTGAACAAGGTTAGTTGCCACAGTGTCTAAAGCTACATATGTCAATAAATTAGGTGTCAATTTAATAAGGGTTATAAACATGAAAATCTGTCACTGAAAACTTAAAGGTTGGCTTTTTCAAAGGAATCAAATAAGCTTTTTGGTGTGCTTTTATTTTGGCTAAAGTTGTAGTCAATTAATACCATGTAGCAGCTTGTACAGGTTTAACAAGAAAGCAATCTTAAAGCATGTTTGACTCATTTGATTAATGAATTTTCTGGTCACTGTACTGGCCCAAAACGTTGTAACAAGTCACACACTCTGCTACACTGTTGGGTGGTTTTCCTTTATATTTTATTTAGAACCTAATTTTTTGTTTTACAAGGCTTCATTTAAATCCCCAAGATCTTGAAATTGTTTCGAAGGAAGTGCAGTGGGGTAGTGGAACAAGAATTTCATTAGAGTTTTCTGTTTCATGTTACATTTACCTATACATACAGAACAAAGGCTGTTTTCTCTGCAGAATCATTGTAAGCTTTATCAGTAAACGATATCATTCCACCCTGACTCGCAGGAATAAAAGTTTGATTTTCCCTTTATATTTTTACAGCCAAACCAGCCAAACGACAGCAGAATGCACAGCCTGTGCCCATGGCAGTTGCACAGCCTGTGGTCGCACCAGTTGCTCAAAATGGTAAGGACTTGTGAACATTATTTTGTTTTTTGAAGACTAGTTTTGCCTAGCCTGTATTGCAGAAGAAATTTAATCCCAGTTAGTAACGCCTGCATAGCTGCGCCACGATCCTCGTTCTACACCCCTAAAGGATTTAATGAATTACCAGAATCACTGAATTACCCTCTTAACCCGATTCACAGATCAACAATGGCTTTTTTTAACAAGCCAATCAAATCCTGGTGCACAAGAGATGGGGGGCTCAGAACAAGGATTTCAGTGCTGTTGTGCAGACAGACTTAACCAGAGGTTTAGTTTGGTCTGTGGTGCAGGCTAAATTTTTCCACGCCTAATACACTCTTCTCACTTATGGTAATATGCCGGTCTAACCTCGTTTACGGGTAAAAATTCTTTTGAAATTCAAATACGAAAACGTCGTCTGATTAGCATTTCAAAGGACGTTTTACTCAAAAACGAGGTTAGACGGGCATATTACCATACGTGAGAAGAGCGTATTGGCTTTTCCCTTGCAACACATTAACATTCCAGATGTACATGTTTTTCTGGTGTCCACAGTTTTCTGAGTTTCACAGTTATGATGGCTTTTAAGCAACAACGTTTTTAACATTCAACCGGAATGGCCTTTTTTGATTTTTTTCTGGTGGTTTCCAAATTTTCAGTTTCTATAACAGTAAAGAAGCTAAGGAATACAAATTTTATATCATCAAGGCATGTTAAGAGGGAAAATACCTCACTTCCGGTTGACGTCCGTCGCTCAAAAACGCCTTTGCTTAAGCTCCCTATTAGCCTATTTCAACTTGCCAGTGTGTACTGAAAATAAAATAAATTGATTCTAACAGTTTGGTTATTTGTTTTTCCACAGTGGTCCCTGCAGCAGTGCAACAGCCAGCAGTAGAGCTACCTAACAACATCCTGTTCCTGACCAGCCTGCCAAATGAGACTACAGAGTTGATGTTGTCTATGTTATTCAACCAGTACCATTTCTGGACTCAGCTAGATTGTTTTATAAACCTAATGAGACATCTTCTTTTAAGAGTCTCACCATCTTTACTGAACCTCTTAATTTGTCTTCCTACACCTGTGTTTCACTTTCCTCGTTTTTGGCAATTATCATGTGCACTCGCGTTCTGTGCTTGCTTAGTTGTCCCTCTGAAAGTTGTTCATTTTAAAGTGACAAGCGACGTTATGCAGTTCTTTATGAATTTTGATAGGTCCTTGCCAGGATGGAGAATAGTTATAAATGACATGCCTTTTGTTGTTGTTTGTCTCTCTCTTTTTTTTTTTTGCACTTATTATTACAGATTTCCTGGATTCAAAGAAGTTCGCTTGGTCCCAGGTCGTTCAGACATCGCTTTCGTGGAGTTCGAGAATGACGTACAGTCAGGGACAGCCAAAGGTGCTCTTCAGGGATTCCGGATTACACCATCAAATGCCATGAAAATCACTTATGCTAAGAAGTGATCTCCCAGTTGTTTCACTTATGTTCTTCTTGAAACAACAGATTTTATCTATATAACGACGTGAATTTTTTTCCTCAAAGATTTCTTCCAAACAACGTCTTACATGTATTACTGTACCTCTTTATCCTTTTAGAACGCGTTTTCGTAACACATTGATAACAGTTAAAGTGTACCGTGCTTTGTCCTCTTCCTTCCAAATGATTGTTTCTTATAAGGGTGCAGGCTGTTTTCGTTTTATTGTTTCTGAAAACAAAAGGTTTTAGTTCTTGAGTTATCCACAGTGTAGTGCTGGTTTTTAACTCGAAATATTTACCTCCAAATGGCAAACAAAGGCAGATTTTGTTTTCTAAAAATAGCTAAATTTTAAGGTGACGCAGTGAGGTATGTACCAGAACAGGATGCTTCTTCGGGCAGATAATTTGGCCCAAAAGAATTTTTAACTTTCAGAAGTTGGTACATGTACCTCTGGCTTCAATACTTCGGTGGAAATTCGGCTAAAAAGATATCCAGTATTAGGAAATTTGAAAACTTTAATAAGCGTCTGTAGCATTGCCGCACCAAGCTGCTGTTGTAATAAGTTGTAACAAATTCATCATGAGACTACAGCATTGCACCAGGCTGTTGCAAGTTCGTAAGAACACCTAGGCCAAATTTTTGTTTCAGAATTTGAGTCCAATTGTTAAACATGCCATCATAACTTTCTAAGGATTATTTCCACCATACTTGCATTGGTAGTATGTAGCTTAAACAATAAAATAAGTAGGCTTGTTCTTTTCCTTATTTTCCTTTCTTTTCCTAATTTTTCCTTAAACAGCATTGCATGAAGCTGTCTTGTAATTTTTTTTACGTCATTACAGTTTATCTGTGACGGCTATTTTTTCCCCTTTTTATGTAGCCTTTTACAAACTTGCCTTGCATGTACTTTGCAGCATTGCACAGCGCTGCGTTTAAAAAGTAAAATTTTAAAATCTTTGTAAAATATTAAGCTGATACACTGTAAGCATTGCACTTTAGCTGAAGTGATAGAACATGATTGCTTGTTCCGGCATTGCACCTGGCTGGGCGTGATCACTGATACTACATCACTGACTGATCATTCATTGTCAATTGTTTCTCATAGGCCTGGTAGAAGCGATTACATTAACGTTATAGAATAAAATGGCTTTTTTTATCTAATGAGGTCTTTGTCGTGTGCAAACTGTAGGTTGCTACTCCTTTCCGCATATATATCAAAAAATGCGGGAGGAGTACGTTGTTCAATAGGTCAACTTTTTACTGCGTCCAGTTAGTGAACAGCCGCCAGCACGGCTGGAAAGAACGCATCCTCGTTCCCAGGGTCCTCTCCTAATCAGCCCCCGTGGCGCGCGAGAAAGAGAGACCTTGGCCGAGTAGGAGAGGACCCTGGAAACGAGTTTGAAAAGAACGCCTTAAAGTCAGTAAAGATGTCAACTCTAAAAGTGAATCGTTGATAACTAATGAAGATATAGCTCTGTAAATTCGTGTTGCAGGCGCCGGTTTATTTGTAGGGAGAGGGGAGAAATTTCGAGGAGGCGCCTCCTAATCGGCTCCTCTTCTCCTCGCGTGTTTCCCTCTTTCCCTCGCGCGCTCCGTTAAAAAAACCACAACCAAAAAAATTAACCGGCGCCTACACCGCTGGCCTCCTTGTTCCTTTTCATACCATAGTGTATTATGAAGAGGTATGTGTTGCCGCAGACTTGCCAAGTCTCGCGCTTTCTCGTGAGTCTCACGATTTCACGACCTATCTTACGAGCTGGCAACTGATTTCTGACGCTTCCTCAAAAGTCTTTAACTATAAAAAATTGCGATAAAACGTTTCTTAAAATCATTTTAAGATTAAAAAAAATTGCTAAAAAGCGACGACGTTTCGACGTTAGCTGAACGTCATTATCAAGTCAAAATAAGTTAGTGATCTCAAAAGTCAGACTCCAAAAAAACTTTGGAGTTGTAGGGCTCGTTTCCTACTAAGATATCAATATAGATAGCCAGCTCGATCCAAAGAAAACGCTTATAGGTCGCGTTTGATTACATTTTTTTTCGCCTACCGCGACTTGCCGCTACCACCAATTGTGCAGACTTACGGTTTCTCTTTTTCAAGATGACCGCCAACAAAACTTGAATCGAAAAATTGATAGGTTCAGAATCTCACATTTTTGGCCTTTTGGGGGTTGACAAGTCTGTGTTGCTGCAAAGTTATCCGGTTTATTTTAAATTACACCACTAGCTCATTTCACAGAGTGGCCCTCTTGTCTGCCATTACTTAGATTTCCAATAAGAAAGTCTCGAAAACAGCCAAGCCAGGAGCCCTGATGGGCCCCTGGTCAAGCGAAATAAGGTGCGCGTGATCCGGTGAAACTGAACGGGCGATGGCTGCTCTCCTCTCGTGTCAGTTTTCACTATCTTTGCACACTACTTGAAATAAGCACTCACGTACAGTTTTTAATTCGTCTTTACTTACGATTCACTTGAACAAAATAACAGCAAAAGAAAATAAGAAAACTATAGAATTAATAAAGGCGAACTGCGAAAACTTGCCATAAAGTACAACAAATGAATACGAAAACAAGCAAAAAAAATCACAGGAAAAATAATTACAAGATCTGTACGGCAACTGCGGATACAACTAGATGACTGATTTACATGGAGGAAAAATAACACTTTTAAACTAACCTAAACTAATAACAATAGACCTAATGAACTTACGAAAATTGGCAGTAACGGTTACGCAACGCAACGCCAAGAATAGAATATTCTAAACAAAAAAAAATACGCATACTTAATAAAACCTGTATTAAGCGGACCTCTATTAAGCGGTCACCCTCTATTAAGCGGTCACTTAACAAAGTCCCGGAAATCATTTCCTTTAATTACTGTAAAACTGAGCCGCATTGAGCGATCACCTTTTCTAAGGTCCCAACGAATAGACCTTGTCAAGGTTTTCGACGCCATCTTGACGAGTAGGCAAACGCGTGAGAAATTACATTGATTGTATGAGAATCTAAAGTCGAATAATTTCCGTAGAACGGCTGTTCTGAAAAAAATACGATTTGTAAACTAAAGCTTCACTCCTAAGGATTCTCCTGAAACAATTTGAGGGCGTTGCAAGCACTAGAAGACCCAGAACCACTTTTTTAAATTTCCTATACATTTGTCTGTTGGAAAGTCCCATGAAAATTACAGAAAAATATATGGAAAATCTAAAGCAAGCCTCTGGAGAAATTCAAGCACGGGTACGCCCCCAAAATTTTTTAGGACAATCCTTTGCTTTGTTGCTTTCGTTTACAATTGATATTTTGTTCAGAACAACCGTTTTATGGAAATAATTCGACATTAGATTCTCATACAAACACTGTAATTTATCATGCGATTGCCTACTCGTCAAGATGGCGTCGAAAACCGTGACAAGGTCTATTATTTTTTCATTGTCTTCACCTCTATTAAACGGTCACTTTGAGAAGACGTACCATACTGGTGCAACAGCTCGCACTGTGTATGGCGTCAAATGGTCTTCAACGTTTTTTGGGGGGAAAGAAGAGGTAGAAACAGGTGGAGATCAATTTGTCGTGGGATAGATATTTCGCTCTTTGACTACCTTCATTTTCTTGAATACCTCTCACGTTTGCGCGGTCAGTAAGCCATTCCCAAAGGGTGACCGCTTAATACAGGTTTGACTGTATACTACCTTGTCGTAATTAAAATCGAGGACCAGGCCCTAGCTACTTATACAACGACTACAGGCGAATCTCTGCTGACGTCATTGTTTACATTTTTGCTCATAAGCATACCAGTCAATTGACCACTCCAGAAAATACCATAACATACCATAATGCTCTTTGTTTGTCACCCCAAATTTTGCAACAGCATTGTTTTCAGTTTCTCTTGGGGCCATTTTAACTCCCAAGAGAAACTGAAGACAATGCTTATGCAAAATTTTGGAGTGACAAACAAAGAGCATTATGGTATGTTACGGTAATTCTGGAGTGGTTAATTCACAGAAGGGGTCAAACCAGCCGGTTGGAAAATCTTGTGCATGGACACCACACCACTATCGTGGTGGGAAAACGACCCGCCATAAAGTAGTTCCAAATCAAATGAACAGACTAAAATGAGCATACAAATTGCATTGTCTCAAATAACAGCCCATATTTTTTAAGCTTCCCAAACGGAATGGTGCGAGCCATTTGATTTTCGAACCTGAATTTCCGGCTTTCCTAGCAAATGTAAAGTAATGTAATGTCGTGGATTTGTGAACAACTTAACAAGACGCGCCCTCTTTAAATATTAATACGTTAACAACTTCTCTTGATAAATCCAACAGATCTATTTCTCAATCTCAACTGATCGTAGGCCTTTCATACCATCGTTGACAGTGTAGACTTTTTAATGCTTCCTTAGTGATCCTGCTTTTTTAATCACTTCCCACGTCGTTTACATTCATAACGCTTTTCTCCAGTGTGGACCCTTTCACGACTCTAGGTATCCTACTTCCTTAAAACACTTCTCACACTATTTACGTTCATAAGACTTTTCCCCAGTATGGACTCTTTCATGCCTTCTTTGGTTTCCCACACGACTAAAACACTTGCCACATCGTTTACATTCCTAAGACTTTTGCCTAGTGTGGACTCTTTCATGCCCTCTTAGGTGTCCTGCTTGTCTAAAACACTTCCTACATTGTTTACATTCAAAAGACTTCTCCCCTGTGTGGACTCTTTCATGTGCCCTAAGGTTTCCTGCTTCACTAAAACACTTGCCACACAGTTTACATTCATAAGGCCTCTCTCCAGTGTGGACTCTTTCATGTCTCCTAAGGCTTTCTGCTCGACTAAAACACTTTCCACACAGTTTACATTCATATGGCTTTTCCCCAGTGTGGATTCTTTCATGTTTCTTTAGTGTTCCTGCGTCACTAAAACAACTTCCACACAGTTTACATTTATAAGGCTTCTCCCCAGTGTGGACCCTTTTGTGACTTGTTAGTGTTCCTGCTTCACTAAAACACTTCCCACACTGTTTACATTCATATGGCTTTTCCCCAGTATGGACCATTTCATGCCTCCTTAGGTTTCCTGCAACACTAAAACACTTCCCACATTGTTTACATTCATGCGACTTCTTCCCAGTGTGGGCTCTTTTATGTGCCCTTAGGTTTCTTGCTTCATTAAAACACTTCCCACATAGTTTACATTCATAAGGCTTCTCCCCAGTGTGGACTCTTTCATGTTTCCTACGGTTTTTCCTACATTCATAGGGCTTTTTCCCAGTATGGACCATTTCATGCCTTCTTAGGTTTCCTGCTAAACTAAAACACTTCCCACATTGCTTACATTCATAAGACTTTTCCCCAGAGTGGACTCTTTCATGTGTCCTAAGGTTTCCTCCTTGACTAAAACACTTCCCACATTGTTTACATTCATAGGACTTCTCCCCAGTGTGGACTCTTTCATGTGTCTTAAGGTTTCCTGCTTGACTAAAACACTTCCCACATTGTTTACATTCATACGACTTCTCCCCAGTGTGGACTCTTTCATGTGTCTTAAGGTTTCCTACTTCACTAAAACACTTCTCACATTGTTTGCATTCATAAGGCTTCTCCCCAGTGTGGACTCTTTCATGTTTCCTTAGGTTTCCTGCTACACTAAAACACTTCCCACACTGTTTACATTCAAACGACTTTTCCCCAGTGTGGACTCCTTCTATCAGCTCTTTTTTGATATAAAATAAAAGCGATAGAAAAAGGCTTAGTTTTGTGCCCGATTATTTGAAATTTAAATTTTATCCAATGTTAGGGGTCCAAGAGGGGGTGTTATAGATAGGAGGTGTTCGTTTTGGAAAAAAAATATGAATAAGTTAATATCTAGGGTAATAGGGTAATATCTAGTCCAGGCAGATAGAGATCCATATCTCAATTTCGATGTCAGAAATGCCCATTCAAGGTCATTTGCGTTGTCTATCACTACTTTGAACCTGGCATTGAACAAAAAACAATGTGCAAACCCTAATGATTTTGCTCCTTTTTGCTAATTCCTAATATTTTTGTGTAACTGCGATGGGGGCATCTATCAGATAGGGGACATTAATTAGAGATGGGCACCTGATAAACAGTGGTGAGAGCACTCGCCTCCCACCAATGTGGTCCGGGTAGAAATCCCTGCATCGATTCCATACATGGGTTCAGTTTGTTGTTGGGTCTCAGGGGCGTAGCGTCCTTTACGCAAGTACCCACGTGCATACTTGAGAAATTGGTAGTTTTAATAAAAAAAGCCATTTGTAGTGTCGTGACTTGACTTTGTATGGTGCAGATTTGTTCCTCTGCCTCTCGCTGTTCTTCAGCATCGTTTTAACACATGATAAACAACAGTTTGAGTAGTGAAATGAGATTTATAAATTCAAAATATTCTTGAAATGTTTGCCTTCAGGCAATCTCCCATACATAGCGTATTCATGAAAATAGAAAAAGAATCGACCCTGACTGATTGCCGTTCCTTTTAAGATTTATGTGGAAAGTTTTCCCATTCAAAACCTTTTCATTTTTTTTTTAGTTTTCTCTTGCTCCATCAATTTCGAAATCGTCTACCAAAGACTTCTCATTAAATGTCACTCAACTGGAAAATCATGGACCAAACCATCCCGACGATAGTTCACGTGAACTGAAGCTAACCATTAGGTGCACATTTTTTATGTGGCACGGTATCAACAAGAATTTGCAGGAAACTTACTCCTACAGAACAGATGTAGTATTTTTTCACAAAAATTATGACAAACTTTAGAGATATAGAGATATGTGTTCCTGTTCTACCTCAAAGAAGAACGTTATAAAAGCTTTTCTTGGTATCACATTCTATTGTAAACAATTGAGGCTGTAAACTGCCAATCATGTGATATTAAAGAAAAGCAAAAACGTTATTTTGTACGAAGTTGTTAAGATTATATGGACCCTTGTGCGTACTTGTGAAAATGGTCATGCTACGCCCCTAGGTCTCTCCTTTGCTCAAGAAGTTTTTCTCTGGGTACTTCGGTATTCCCCCCTCCTCAAAAACCAATATTTCCAAATTCCAATTTGTCCAAGTATCAGGTAAACGAAGTACCACTATTAAGGAGATATGCTACCTCCAAATAATTATTATTTAGTTATTTTAAAATTAACATCTGAGAAAGGGCATTTATTAAGCAAGAGGTGTTTAACCTGAGAGAGAGTGTCTATCAGACTGATTAGATTATTTTAAAAAAATAATGGTACTTGGAAATTAGGGCAAAATCGTTAAATTTTATTCAGTTTCATGCTTGGTTAATAGGAGTTTTTGCACATTGCATCTTGTTTAAGTTCCTGATTGAGTTCAAAGTAACTTGACTAGCTTGACTAGAGCAATCGATAAATAGTGGTAATAGGGCTGAGTGATTACCAAAATCTGGCGACCGTGTAGCGGGAGTCTGATTTTTTTTAATCACAAGTGTGTTTACCGACAGAATTGGATGAATTGAATGTCTGTTGCCAATTAATCATAACTATAAAAAAATTTTTATGTTTTAACTCTCTTGAAAATAAAAACACAAGTAATTCCAAGAGTTTTCTTGCATACAGTGAAAAAAAAGCCATTTACGTGCGCGCGTGATGGCATGTACTGGCCAATTACATAGGCATGATGCATACTGTTCTATAATAACACTTTCCTATTAATACTGAAATCAGGACAGTTGATAGCCAATCAGATTTGAGAATTTTGTTATAGATAGTTATTATTAAACCTAATGTAGGAAAACCAATCAATAATCAGTTTTTGGTTGATATGGTTTGTAACGGTCAATCAATAGAAAATGATGGCCACAACTTTTTTTCTCTTAGCGCTACTGATTTTATTGATATTGTCGATTTGAACCCACATTTATTTTCATTCCTTCATAATTGCCTCACGATGTCGCTGAAACATCAGTTTTTACATGCATATGATTTGAAGTTCTAAACCCAATAATGCATTGAAAACTAGGCCTAGTTTGAAAGACTTGCACAGAGCTAGCGACTGGCATTTTCACATGTTTTATGTGCTATTGAGCACTCTTCGCCCTTTCCACCCGCCAAGTTAAGTTCCAAAAGTCAAACACTTTTAAAATTGCACCAAATTAGCTGTTTCCAATACAAACAAGCTGAATCAGTTGTTTATGTTGAGTTTATAACTCAACATAACTGGCTAAAGGCACATTAATAATATACTAATGTTCCAGAAACAATAGCCCATTCTTTGACAATGTTAACCACTGAAACACATGGAAATTTTAGTGCTGATAAAGATCAATAATAAAATTTCCACTGGCCATGACTTTTTTCTCTATTGACTTCTATCGATTTTCTATTTAATCAATCAATTTTATCGATAGTTTTGAGTGTCATCGACTGTCAACTTTATTCATTGCTCTAGTCAGGAAACTAAGGACTCTGACATCAGAGTTCAGCTTTAAAGAAAAACACACAGATCTCCAAACTGCCTGGACATATGAATGGAAGAACATTTTTTAAGGGGCTGTTTACATGGAGGAAGATCCTAAAATTATGTTGGGTCACAGAGAGCCAACACAAATTGTGTGACTGTTTTTACCTGAAAATGCTATGTATTGTCATTCTTGCCACTGGAAACGATGAATTTTGATCTTAGTAATACAGGAATTCCTCACATTATGGGATGATAAAATGAAGCTTTCAATACTCCCATGCATACATTAAAACAATCCTACAATTTATGTGGGCACCCTGTGGTTGCGTTTTATACATGCAGAAATTTTTGGTCCGTGTGTTGCCCAAGTAGAGAAGGTTTGAGAAGGAATTACCGTGCACCTACTATATATAGCCAGGGCTGTCTAGACAAAGTTGACCAATCAGATTACAGGAAAATAACAATACATTCTGAGAAAGTTAGTTGTCAATCACAATCAAAATAAATAACATAGATTGAAACCAACCAACTACAACCTACAAAGATGTGATCTTTTGCACCTGATAAAGAAAGCACCTGTTTCCTGACAGGTCGGTTAGAGTGAATGATGCAAGCAAAAAACATAAACGTTAGTTAAATTTTTGACTGGAGGTCATGATTTTATTGCAAAGTGTGGCAATGGTAGCGAAGAAATCGATGGTAGATGTCAAAATAACAGCCTATATCTAACAAATATGTCTGCTTACATGAAAAGTTTCCAATGGCAAAACATTTTCTGGTGGAACATTTTGCTCTCTTAAAAAACGTTTCCTATCAATATTTAAATTTTGTGCTTCAGTAACTTAAAAGCCCATTGCCAACCTTGATGCATTGCGCACCACAAACACAAATCCTGCGAATTTCGTGTTACACGAAATTACTGATGGTCATGAAAGGCTTTTCCAAAGATTTCGTATTGGGTCAAACGGCTCAGGCTATCCATTCAAAAAAAATTGTCATCTGTTCGAACAGCTTGGATTATATGATCGAAGAAAATTGTCACTTGTTTGAACGGCTTGTTCTATGCATTCAAAACAATATTATTGTCAGCCACACTATTGTTCCAAATCACCTTTACCCGAGCCATTTGCGATGAACTTGTCAAAAACTGTAAGCTTAAACCATTCTTCTAAACGTTGTTTACCATCATCTCATGAATTTTCACAGTACATTTTCTGCTGAATAGCCTTCTTTGCTTTCACAACATTGGATTATCATTACAGACTAAGTTCAGGGGCACCCAACGACAATTTTCAGAAAAATATCTGTTCGGAAGACAATTTGAGATCTAGAATTTTCAGAACATTTGTTGTAAAATTTCTTGCTTGCCTGTTTCTCCTAGGATTTTCGAACATCTAAAAAATGGTATAATAGTCTATTTTTGACGGATTCTTACCCTAAAAAGGTCACCTAGAATTTTCGGGAGCCTTTTTTCTGGCTGAAATTTTCGAAAAGGTAAGTTTTGATCCCTATAATTTTCGGATCACTAGACTTTCAGCTAGGAAATCCGAACAGATGAAAAATTTTTAGGGGATAAAAATATGCCTATATCTACCGTTTAAATACCAAAATACATTTAACAATGCTATTTTTAAGTGGTTTTGAACTATATTCTCGTTGGGTGCCCCTGTAAGTTATAACATTCAACAAATTTCCCAAACAATTTGACCTTTTCGCATGAAAATATCAAACGCTTTTGGTAGCTGTGGGAATACACTCTCACTGTCAACAAACTTTGCCTCTTCAAAATTCCATCATCTTCCTTTACCATTTCCCAGAAAACAGTAATGTTAATAGCTATTGCCACGCCACAGATCTGAAAAATAACAACGGTTCCTTGCGGTTCCTCTCAGGGCTGTACATGTTTCTTTCAGGTAAACCTGAAATGTCAATGAACTTGTCCACTTCCATGAGAAATAATACTCATTTACTGACTTTGCAGGTGAACTGAGCAATCACTTGTCAGATGAGGAAACATATAACTCCGATGTGACCACAGCTGACTAGCCCTGACTATTTTGTCTTTTTGCAAGAAAGCCTGACAAAAGTGTTGACCAATTAGAGTGCGCTATTTACAAAAGCGCCGTTTCAAAGCAAAAACAAACGACTGCATTGCATCAAGGTTGGCAATATGGGCCTTTGATAATTTTTGTAAGAGCTGCTGATTGGCCCACAACCAACTTTCTTGGAATGTTTTGTCATTTTCCTGTAACC